TACAATGATTTATTGCTTGTCTTTGTACTAATAATACAGAACATAGGGAGCTTTAAAAAAAATTGCATATTAAATCGCAATGGCAATATTGGTAAATAACATCGCAATTAGATTATTTTCCAAAATCGTTCAGCCCTAATTCAAATGGCAATTAAATTACAGCACGACCTCAGTGCTTGTCAAAAACAGAAGGTAATTCAGATGGGAATTTTCACACGGGTGGTGGGAGGAAAAACATTCTGGATTTGGACAGCAATAAAATCACTATCTAGCTCTTGTTAATGTTGAAATTACCTAACTTCCCCATGAGAAACAATTACTGTCTGAATAGTGCTATTGCTGCATTTATGAAGGGTGTAAACAGTTAACATGTAGTCTGAGGGAGTTGAATTTTCTGCTGATTACATAGCTTTCAAAGTCAGCATGAAATCAAATTGACTATTTTTTACTTTAGTACATGCTCCTGGTCTTATTGTGAATGGTTAACTTACTGTATGTTATTGCAAAAAATACATTTTCTTAATCATTCATCAAAATGCAATAAATTGCTTTATAATAAACTGACGTTACCAAGCTGAAGCAGCAAAATTCATATCAGTATTAATAGCTGCAATACTGCAAATAAAACATCCAATATTGCTTATGTACACACACATGCTTCATACGTGTAATGTGTCTCCATATGGTGCTTCATATAAACAAATCAAACAAACATGAAGATTGTAAATGTGTGTACATGAGCAACTGAGTATTTTAATAGGAGATAAATACGATGTTAAATAAATGACCTCAGCCTTTAAATGAGGCACTCATGATCCAATGATCGCAATCAGAAATGTGACCATTGGCAGAGAATCAGAGATTGTTGATATAGAACTCAGATTGTTACACGATTGCTATCAAACTGGGTTCACTAACTACTTTAACCTGTATTCCTCTGTTTATGTGCTTTTTTCTCGTCTTTGTCTTCATCGCTGCCATCAAAGGCGGGAAAATGGAATCCTTTACATGTAAGTAGGTGATTGAAAAAAAAGAGTTTGGTGCAAAATTGCCATTTAATTAGCAGCAAAAAAAACAAAAACACCATTGTCCTGCATTTAACTTCTCAGAGTTATGTTAACGGTCTGTTTCTCAGAAACACTACTGTTCAAAAGTTTGGGGTCAGTAAGATTTTTTTTTTAAGGATATTAACACTTATTCAGCAAAGATGCATTAAATTGATCCAAAATGACAGTAAAGACATTTATAATGTTACAAAAGATTTCTATTTCATATAAATGCGGTTCATCAAAGAATCCAAAAAAATCAGCTTTGCATCACAGGAATCAATTACATTTTAAAATATATTCCGATACAAAACAGTTATTTTAAATTGTAATAATATTTCACTCTATTGCTGTTTCTACTGTATTTTTGATCAAATAAAAGCAGCATTGGTGAGCAGAAGAGACTTCTATCCAAAACATTAACAAGTCTTACTGACCACAAACGTCTAAAATGTCAAAAAACTGTCACACCTGGGTGGTCAGAAAGCAAAGTCACTTCTAATTGTCAAAATATAGTGCTAGCTAAAGTATGTACTGTCATCTTAACCATCTCTCTAATCTTCCTAGGTGTCAAAAGATGACCGCAGTGACATTGAGTCTAGCTCTGATGAAGACGAGGTTCTTCCTCCCTCTCAGAAACATCAGACTAATGGGACCAACGGCACCAACGGCTACCTGTCCTCGTCCCCGTGCCCAGACGAACACTAACCGTTTCACCGGGTCCCAGCTGCATCACTCTCCATTGTGTCAGATCCTGTATGAACATTACCGGTCCCGTACTGGAACTTCTCAATAATGTGAATGCGGTTCTGTTTCGGTTGCTTGCTTTTCACCATTTCCCCCCAGATGTTTTGTGTTCCATTCGTTGGCTTTTGTTTTTGTGGTTGTTTATCCTGCGACATTCGTTATCGAAGCACCTTTTAGATTCAATGCGACTCGCTCTTTTCTTTCGAGCAGGTGAATGAAAGCGCCGTTCTTTCTTTCATAATCACGTGAGCATGCGGTCATGTATTCTGGCATCATGGGAACAGTAGGTTTCTTGGATTAGTGTTTTTTTCTATTGATTTCTTTTTTGTAACTTTAATAAATTTCTGTGCTTTTTTTTTTTTTTAACATATGTTCCACTTTTCCATGACAAGATGTCGGTGCTGGAGCTGGTGCCCAGTCTAGAACTGCTCTGGGTGTGTTTCAACCGCTCTGGATGCGTTTTCTTCTTTGCCAACTATGGTCCGTCGTTACCAACATAGTTCAATGATTTTGGTGTTTCCTGAATCCATAGTTCCAACAAACATTTGCGAAAATCATCACAAAACTGTGGTTGGATCTACAGCTCTCCACCTGTGCTTAGAAGCATTTCCCAGCAAACAAAAATATGTTCTATTAATGTTTTGCCAACATTCCCATTAAAGTTATAAACACTCTGCATGTTCAAAATGTACCGTTTCTTTTTTAGTGTTTTAGAACGTTTTTTTCTTGGTTTTGCAAATGTTACTGGAACATTCCATTTTATAATTTGCAAACATTTTGGGAACGTTACTTTTAAATGTACATTTAAAAAACATTAGACGAGCATCCAAAAGAAGTTTCCCAAAACATACCATGTGCAAGTACAGTATGTGAATGTCAGATGCTTGATTTTGTGCATTCCGAAAGAAATTGTGATTCAAAACGCAACATTTTGATTTTTTTTTTTTATCTCTTTCAGGTCAACTGTTGTTGTGGTTGAGAAACATTTTGAAGGGAATCTTGCAAGTTAGTTGAACAGTTTTAACTACCTACTCGAATAACACTGACAGTTTAGTTTAATAGTACAGACATCAGTGACTTCTCATAACTTTGGCTAACATTCTGGCAAATTTCTCTGGCAAGTTATGAACAAACCTTCTTCCAGTAACTTTAATAAAGCATTTGTTGTAGTTATCTGGTCTTTAATAATGTTCTCCAACCATTAGCACAAAAATGTTATTTATACCTCAGTCATGGCATGTTTTTTTCTATAATGTTTCAGTTGCATATTTGTATAATGTATTTAAATGTTACTACTTCAGAGAACATTCAATGGTAACATTTCCATAATGTCTGCAAAATGATCAAATGGAATGTTGGCTTATTTATGTTTGTATAACCAAGAAAAAAATGTTTTTTTACAACTTTTTTTGTTTGTTTTTAAACTGGAACATTTGTTTGTTTTTAAACTGGACCTTTTGTTTGTTTTTAAACTGGACCTTTTGAATGTTCTTAGAAAATGTAAAATGTTTTCATAACCTAATGGGTACGTTAGCGAAACGTTCTAGACCGTTTCAGATTGCTACTGGTTTCAAATAAGGAACTGATAACATCAAAACTAGATCGCTTGCATTATCGTCATCAAAGCAGTCTTAAGGGTGCTTTCACACCTGTAGATCGATTGCTTTGTTCCGAAACAGATTAAAATTATTACAATGTTGCTTTTTATTCTTGGTGCGGTTCGCTTTCACACGGCAAAGTTTCTAAACGGACGAAATTTGTTAATACAAGTCACGCGCGAGTAAACTGTCTCTCATTGGTCAACATTTCACGGTTTATTTTCCGGGATTCCGTCATCCGTCAGGATGGAACGACAACAGCTTTGCGGGCTTATTGTTGGTTTTTTTTGTAGCTGTCCTTATATTCATTTATCATTTTGAGCAGGAGTCCAGGATTCATCGGGAAAACATTTTTAAAATGCACCTACTAGGAAGAAGAGCAATAAGACGGCATTATAAAATGAAAGTGTGCTTTTTTTATTTTGAATGGCGAAGACGTGCTCACCCACAGACATTCACAGGTTCATTTTGAAGTATTAGCAAAACAACAAAGCTAATGCTTTTCACGGAACTTACGTGATTACCCTTTATACATTGTGATATAGCCTGGTTCGTTGGTCCGTTAGATTGGATTGCTTTCTCACTACAATCGAACCGCTCCAGAGTTCGTTTTCAATCGAGTCGAAACCACCTCGTTCAGGCGATCTCGGACCGATTGTTTTGGCGTGGATCCGGGCGCGATTGCCTGTTCACATATGCCCAAACGATCCGAGCTAAGGGGGAAAACGCGCCAGGTTCCGAAACAACGGGCCAGGTGTGAAAGCACCCACACGAAACGATCGGTTTGTGCGAGAAACCAAACAGTATTTATATCATTTTTTACCTCTATTAGATTACATGTAGATATATATTATTGGTGTAGTAGAGGTAAAAAATGATACAAATACTGTTCGGTTTCTCGCACAAACTGATCGTTTCGTGTCTTAGGACATCAATGTGTCGTCACGAGCCGCAGGGTTTAATTTGGATTTGTCTGTGCATGATTTTTTTACTCATAGATTTTGTTACCATTGCCATGCATTATAGGACTGATAGACTGCAACGGTTGGAGTTAAAAATCATAATTTGTGTTCTACTGAAGAAACAAAGTCACCTACATCTTGGATGCCCTGGGGGTAAGCAGATAAACATCAAATTTTCATTTTTGGGTGAACTATCCCTTTAATGGAAATGCTTGATGCGGTGACTCACATTTGGCTTGCAAACACTGGTTTTATTTTTGACGTTTCACAGTAACTTTGGCCGTTATATTTAAGCACAGTGATGCACTGTGGTTATTTGTAGGAAGGTTATGCAGTAACAATTATTTACATTAATTAAATCGAGAGATTCACAGATCCCCCAGCTGAGCACCAGCGTCATTTTGGTGGAATAGGGGTAACTGTTTGAAAACGGCAGTCAATCAATTTGCTCAAAATAATCATTTGTTCAAACGAATCCCGATGAACTAGTGGTTTATCACAGATCGCTCACGTTCCTTCACCAAACATATTTTCACAAGTACAGTATCGTTCAAAAGATTGGGGTTGGTAAGAGATTTCTCTCTCATGCTCACCAAGGCTGCATTTATTTGATCAGTAAAAACTGTAATATTGTGAAGTGTTATTGCAGATAAAATAACTGTTTTCCATTGGTATATTTAAAATGTAATTTATTCCTGTGATCAAAGCTTTTTGAATTTTCAGCAACATGATCCTTCAGAAATCATTCTAATATGCTGATTTGCTGCTCAACAAACATTTCTTATTATTATCAATGTTGAAAACAGTTGTGCTGCTTTATATTTTATTCATTTGTGGAGCTACATTTTTTTGCAGGATTCTTTGATGAATAGAAAGTTCAGAAGAACAGCATTTATTTGATACAGAAATATATTGTAACATTATAAATGTCTTAATCACTTTTGATCAATTTAATGCATCCTTGCTGAATAAAAGTATTCATTTCTTTCTAAATAAAAGTCTTGCTGACTCCAAACTTTGGAGCAGTAGTGTAAAATGAATCAGTGTTTCAGGTGCTGAAAAGAAAAGGGACACTTATTGTGTATTTCATCGAGAAATCTTGCCTGACTTTGAAAATAAAAACATTGGATTCTGCTTCTTTTAAGGAAACTGTTTTAGTAGGAAACTTGCACCTTTTGGAAAGTGTTTGTTTTTTCCAGGTTACTTTGGAGCAGTAGTGTAAAATGAATCAGTGTTTCAGGTGCTGAAAAGAAAAGGGACACTTATTGTGTATTTCATCGAGAAATCTTGCCTGACTTTGAAAATAAAAACATTGGATTCTGCTTCTAAACTGTAAACTGTTTTAGTAGGAAACTTGCACCTTTTGGAAAGTGTTTGTTTTTTCCAGGTTTTTTTTTTTTTTTTCATTTGAAAGAAATAGTGAAATTAGGCTATTTATCAAGTGATTACTGATTAATACCAGCGATTCAGCAGGTATAAAGAATCTAATGTCCCATGATTATATATGATAATCATTTCTCAATGAATCCCAGTCATATTTCCAAATAGGTTTGGTTTTGTCATTGTGCTCACACTTCAGAAACAAGGCACATATGAGATTATGAAATATATCAAACTAAATCACTCTGTTTGAATGAACATACCTACATGCACTTTGATGAATAAGTGGCACTAAACACTGGTTTTATTTATGTTGTCTGTTTTTTGTTTTTGTTTTTTGAGTTTAGAATAAAAGATTCTTCCGGTTTTCCTTGTGCATTTGATCATCATTCAGCTGAGCTTTATTTAAAGCTTTTGATTCGAGGGTTTTGATGCTGTTTCTTTCAGTGTTGGGAAGGTCGCTGCTGCTGTGTTTTGAGCTGGAGAAGCACTACAGCTAATTAGCCGTTGTCTTATTTGCACTGCAGACAGGTTGCTGTGTTGTGTGGTTTACATTTGATGTCAAAAAGGGGAAGAATACAAAAAAAAGACAACTGTATTCTCTGCCTTTGCTGGAAAACTGATTAGCAACAGTACTAATGAATTATGTTGCCATGTATTTTAAATAAACACAACAGACCAAAATCTTTCTGGCTGCTTTTGTTGTTTGGGCTGCGTCTGTCTGTCTAATTATATAATTCAAGACTAGATGTGAGGGATATTGTTATTTTATGTTATTTTGAAGCAGTTTTCTCTAATATGGCTCTGTTGCAGCCTGCGTTCATCTTTCCAGCAGGTTGAAAGGGGGGAAATAAAATGAAAAGAGGATAACTAATAAGAAACTGTTTTTCTTAAAGGTGTTGCGCGGATACAGCACCTCTAAAGAGCTCCAAACTAATAATGAAAACGTATAACTAAAAACAACAGAAGATTGTATTATATATTTTGAGAGATTTGACCATCTTGGAGTCAAACTTTCACATGCTCCAGTAGCCTACAATCCTCTAGAACAGCAGCTATGATTGATCTGGATTTGAGCGTTCTGATTGGTGCAGGAGGATGGGTGGGCGGAGACTAGAACAATCATTCAATAAGAAACACACCCTCCCTTCATCGCTCCGCCCTCAAATTGACGAACACGCTAATGTAGGGTTGTTCGATTATGAGTCGACTCCAATTCCTACTCTCGCCGATGGAATCGACTCCTGTAATCGACTCTTCAACTCCATTTCCTTAGAGGGTCAGCAATTACAAGATTGCAGGCAGTCGTTATATTACACATGAAATGTAGGCCATTTTTCCCCGAAATTAAGCCTTACATTAAAAATCCATTTTTGAGATGACGTTACCTTGAAATGATGA